CTTTGACCTGGACGCACTGGCTCTGACCCTGGCCTGTCTGACAACCCGCTTTGATCTGGACCCACTGGCTCTGACCCTGGCCTGTCTGACAACCCYCTTTGACCTGGACCCACTGGCTCTGACCCTGGCCTGTCTGACTAAAAACAAGTTTATTTCTTAATAAACAACTGTTTATTTCATCTGTTCAGTCCCTGTGTCCATCAGTGCCTGACCGTGTCATACTTACTTACTATTGGCGAAAAAGACAACAAAGAAGAAGACAACAGGAAGTAGAAGTAGTAAAATCACCGACTACAATTACCCCAAAATGCTGCATACATAGCCACTCAAAAACCTCGACAAGATGCCGACGTCTCCTCTGATGGCTGATGAATGAGTGCTAGTGTCGTGGTAGCAATATGAATATATCTCATGTAAGTGTTTACTTCCGTTGCCGCCATGTTTGTAGTGACTTATCGCGAGAGCAAACATATTCATATTTAATAGCTTTTCTTATTTAATGGAAACACTGAAATTGTGAAACTGTATTTTTTCATTAACAAACAATCGACAAAGTTTTGCACACATTTGCAATGGAAACGCAGTGACTCAGCATCGTGTTTTCTACCGCGACATATACTGTTACCGTGAAGGGATTCAATTTATACCGTGATATGAATTTGAGGTCATACTGCCCAGCCCTATGTAGCTATTAACTTGACTCAATTGCAATGCAGAGATTTATGAACTGGGCTTTATAAACAAACAGTCAAATGCAGAAGTTCACGTAAATCTATACAAATGGTGATTCAGGTTGTGGTTTCTGACCCATGCTGTCAAACAATCTATTGTCTAGTCTGTCCATCTGTGGTTGTGTTTGTCCAAAATACACACCCTGAGTGTTCACACATCAGACTTAAAGCACTGTAGGGACCAAAACAGCGATCACAGAGAGATGACACTGCAGCCCGAGTGTTTGTTCCCTAATAGGAACTCACTCAAAGAGCTTATTTGCTCCAAAAGCAGTGCTTTCCACTCAGGCGTGCAGTGATAAATGAGCAACACTGAAGAGGAAGATTACCTGCCCACATGACGAGCACCACAACGATGATGATGAGCTCTCCGGCCCTCAGCTGGGCCTGACCAACCTCCTCCATCGTGACCTCATCTGGAGAGAGAGCACATACACATATACACACAAACAGAGTCAACAAAAGTACCGCAGAGAACCCAGCAATTCATTGTCCACAGGAGCGAATGGGAAACTTCAATTTTCCTGAAATCCAGCAGGGGAAGAAGAAAGAACCAAACAGGGTGACATGGGGGCAGAGAGTCTGACAGAGGTAAATTCTCCACTCTTGTTAGTGTAACTAAAGCTAAAAGAGAGCAGCGGTCTGCAGAGATGGAGAGCTGGGACCCCTACCCCATCACTCACTGGGGTTTCTCCTGCTGACAGCGTTCTGGCAGCTGCAGCATAACACCAATCTCAGGGGTAAAGTTTGGAATGCAGTCTGAGTTACAGCCCTTTCAGACTCTGTTGCCAGGCTTTGTGCCTTCTCTTTTACCCCTCTGGTCAAAATGTGTCACTTATCCAACCAGCACCTACCTCTGTCTATTGTCCAGGTGAAACTGAACAAAGACATTTTTGTTAATGGTTTGCCTGTGTTTGTATTTTACGCTAATACAGTATTCTCAGAGGAAGTGTTGATCACACACTGATAGGAGGAAGCTGGTCTTAAAAGGTCTATTGGAGGGGTCACCAGTACGAGACTTTCTGAGTCGCCCGCAGGACAAATTCTAAAAATAGCACTGATCGACTGACCGTCTTAGAAGCAGCGCACTAAATGCTAAACAAATGGAACCAAAAGTCACCCGTGTGCTCTTTTGAGCTTTTATTAACAAAACACTTTCCAAAGAATGTCAACGAGAGCTGCTGTTAAAGCCACATGTCCCGTTAAACCCCGTTAAACACAACAAACTCTCAACAGGTTCTCTCCTGATCTCTCTCGGAGTCCCTTTATCAGTGTTGCCAGATGGGAAATGTTGAATTATCGTATCAGCAGCTCAAAATTATCATATTTTGAGGAAAATTATCGCACACACCCAAGTTACATTCTAGAGAGGCTCAAATTTACAAATACATCCTGCTCAGCTCACAATGTGCTCTGTATTCAACAAACTGCACATTCTTTTGTTTATAATAAAGTTAAAAAGCACTGTTGGGTGTCTGTTTTTTTTTGTTGTTGTTGTTTTGTTTTGTTTTTTTTTACAAAAGCTTTGTTGTAAACAAGAACAAGACATGGAGTCTGGGGAAATGCTGCATATAAAAACATGTTAGATAAAATGACTAGAATAAAATGTAAATTATAGGCAAAGTTAAAATGAAATCAGGAAAAGAACAAACTGTAGTTTATTGTACTTTTGATTAGTCAAGAAATAAATTGAGTGCATACTGAGCAAATTTAATCTGCAAGCCTCCAAAATCTGTTTTTTTTTCTTTTAAAAATAGCTTGACACCTGGATGTTTATTAAATGTAAATGTTGCTTATACTCCTCACCTTCTCAGTCCCACCTTTTCTTTTTGATTTTACAATTTCTTTCACATAAGTATTATTATATTTATCTTTGCTGCTACTAGTTGCCATCATTGTAATGATGGGGTTTATGAGTTTCACTGAATGCTCAGACACCAGAGACGATTTAAGGATTTTATTAAATRTGGAGCAGCAGGATCGGGACCGACACGTCACCGGGGCACGGTGGTCCAAACAAGAAATGACCAGGTTAGTGACTAACAAAGACAGTGGCAGAGCTTTGGAGCAGTAAATAGTCACTAACCTTTTTAGTACCAGTGTTTTGGAAGCCGAAACTTTGAAAGACTTTGAGAGTCTCAGGCGATGGTGGTTCCTGGCACTTCCGTGTTTGGCGCTGCGGCGTGGTACGKAGGCTTGAGGAGAATCCGTGAGACAGGCGAGGGTCAAAASCATGTGGTCAGAGAGCGGCGACAGGTTAAGGGYGTCAGACTTAACTCTTGGTCGTGGTACACAGGCGGGGGTCGAGATCCGGGGGTCCGATGGCTGGGCAAATCCAATAGGGGCTGAGGCGAATGGCAGGAATCCAAAAACGAAAGCGAGGGTCAAAACCAGAGAGACAGAATCCGGGACGGTGGCAGACAGGGGCAAGGCAGGAGACGTGGAACCAGAGGACATAAACAAGGTCGTAACGTGGCAGGCAAGACAAGACATGGGATCGCTGGAAAAACTACTAGGTAAAACCGTTCATAAATCTGGCGCTGGACTGGTGGTGACTGAGGGAATATATTCTGAGGGGAACAGGTGCATGACATGATCTAGATTGGGATTTCTGTGATGGGAGGGGTGAAACAATGAGCAGATTGAAAACAAGAATACTGGGGAGAATAAACTAGACTTCACTTGATAAATGCAGCATGACATGGTAGAATCTTGACAATCATAACCCCAACGTGGGAGGGGGTGTTCATTTCATGTCTGGATGGGATGGATATCTACCTGCAGCAGGGAGAGACGCAGCGTGAAGAAGCCTCCTGTCGGTGCTCTGGGACCGGGGAGGAGCTCTCAGCAGCACCCGCTGCACAATGGAGAAATGCGTTCACGGCAGAGTCTCTATAAGTTTCAATAACACCAGAAAAAGAGTCGCTACATTTTCACTAGTCACTTTTCTGAATAACAGTCTCTAGAGGGTCTGAAAAGTCTGTAAATATAGCGAGGAAGTCGCTAAATCAGCACCGCTGTGTTCCACAACCCGCCACCTCTCATGTCAGCGAGCCGAGTGTCGAGTCGATTACGTCACCCATTGGAGTGGTCAAATTATCGTACATTATGGGATTTTTGGGATTATTGATCGTACATCGTACAGAGGGCAAAATTATCGTACAAATACGATAATTATCGTACACCTGGCAACACTGCCTCTGACCACAGCTGAATGTGGGAGGAGCTTCTCAACACTGAAGAGAATCCAGACTTTCCTCAGGTACAACATCGCATCTCACTGCACTGACCATGCTCTGTAGAGAAGAATCTGGTTAAAATATCCCTGACTTTAACCACCGAAACAGTTTGCTTTTCAGTTACAGAAGGGCAAATTTTATGCACAAAACATAAAACACTGCATGAGATTGCAATGCTGGTTTTTATGATTTGTTTTAATTTGTTTAATAAAAACACTGGCGTGATATAACTTAGTACATGTTTGGTTGCTTTTTGAGATGTGTCTCTTTTGGAGTTATAGCCCCCCTGGAGAAAAACCCACCAGCCACTACTGGTTGAAGAATAGAGATGATGTTCATGAACAATCCGAATCTTTTGAATGATTCTTTACAACAAACAATAGGAGCCGAGTCTCAGGCAGTAGAGTATGGAAGCAAAGAAGTAACAATATTCTAATTAAAATGGATTAATAGAAATCAATATATCAACATAAACCTGCATTTTGTGATTCATAAATAAAAATCCAAACTGTATTTTAATTTTCTTTTCCAAGAC